CAGCCTCTCAACTGTAAAGTGGGACTGACGGTAACGCTACCTGCAAGACTGCTGTGTGGCTGGAGTGTGACAGCACAAGGAGTTAACCAGCACAGCCCTGGCTCCATAGTACAGGTTCAATAAGTGGCTATTTTGTGTCTTTATTTAATTTTTTTAAGAAAAGATTTTATCTATTCATTCATGAGAAACAGAGAGAGAGAGAGAGAGAGAGAGAGAGAGAGAGAGAAGCAGAGACACAGTCAGAGGGAGAAGCAGGCTCCTTGCAAGGAGCCCAGTGTGGGACTTGATCCTCAGTCTCCAGGATCACGCCCTGGGCCAAAGGCAGGCACTCCTCCACTGAGCCACCCAGGTGTCCCTAATTACTTTTCTAATAACTCTTTGAACCAAACACAAAAACCTGAGGAGTAATTTTTGTAAAGATTTTATTTACTTATTTATTCATTCATGAGAGACACACAGAAAGACACAGGCAGAGACACAGGCAGAGGGAGAAGCAGGCTCCATGCAGGAAGCCTGATGTGGCACGAGATCACACCCTGAGCCAAAGGCAGATGCTCAACCCCTGAGCCAGCCAGGCGTCCCAACTAGGCTACTCTATATAAATCAATGATAGCATAATACTGAAACTAGAATAGGACAGAAACCAGTTTCTTTTCTCTCCTTACTGAGAATCACCTCAATTCCCAGAAAGGGAAGTTGGATGAAATACCTCCTTCAGATAACAAAGCTAACAGTTTAGGGAGGCCTGCAAGAAGGAATGCGGAAGAGACTGACTACCCCAGGAGAGAACCACTCAGGCTCGTATCAAATTACAACCTAAGGGATGAAATGTACTTCCAGCCACAAACAATCAAACATCCTGTCCAGCTACTTTACACTTCAAAGTTGGATGGCATAGTTAACTCTGTGTTAGCCGATGAGAGGTGATGGGGGAGTTAGAGCAGTCCCCTGAGGTTCCACCGCCAAAGCCCTCCTAAATCACATGTTCTCTCAGAATTCTGGCTGCCCCGGAATGTGATACTCTCCTCTACCTAGGCTGCAGGTTATCTCACTAATTCAGACCTCAGCTCTTCTCTGCAGCCTTTCCTGACTCCTGCGTCTCGGTGATCCCCAAGCACTGTTAACTTGATTAGGGCGCTCGCACAGCATTTAGTTATTCACGTCTTCTCCACTCGACAGGGAAATCAAGCACTGGGTTTTTACTCCTTTGTGTACTGCTAATGCCTGGTACACAGCAGTTTATCAACGTTCACTGCATTAATCAATCTCAGAAGTCACCCAGTTCAACATTCCTCCTAAGATTTATATCCTCTCACGTTATCTTTGTAAGTGCTTGTTCCAGTTTAAGGTAGATTTACATGTGGACTTCAAAACAAACCACCTTAGTTTTAGCACCTTGCCACTCTGCTGAGCCTGCTGGATTTGGGAAGGGCCGGGTTGACCCATGGCGTCTTCTCCAGGTCTCACAGCCCTAGTCTGGTTTCTTCAGCCACTGCTAACTGTGCCTACCATCCAGGTCGTTCTCTTTGGGATTGCCTTGGGTTTAATCCCTGTTCTTCCAAAAGTGTGGTATCTGGCATACAAGGCAACGGGTGACAGTAGTAAGGTTCTGACGTCAGCAAGTAGGACCAGAAGCATTACTCTTAAAAATTCCTACGGAAAGTACCAGGTAAATAACAGGTGTGTCCTGGACAGACCATCTCCCCCTGCAATGGAGCAGATAACGTAGAGGATCTGCTAGATAAACGCGATCCAAACTTAGGGACCATGCTGTAGGGAAAAATATGCCTTTCCGTAGAAGAATTCTGTTTGAGAAGGAGCACATGGGAACTAGACCTGATGAGGAACAGAAGATAAGGTCTCCCTGCTCTCAGGACATGAGGCAAACACTGCCTGGGAACCACCCACATGATAAATCGTGTGTGTGTGATGCAACCTCTTTAGAGACAGGAGAATAGCACAGACTCTTGGTTTACACACCCAACCACCGCGCCCCCCGCCCTGCAATGTGCACCCTCCTTTTCCCTCACATCTAGTCCACATGCTCTTTTCTTTGTCAACTTTTCAAATGAAATTTACTTCAGAGGTTTTTAACCCAGAGTTCAGCATGTCTGAAAGGACACTGACAGTCTGCATACACACCGGTATGTATGCCCATGGTTCTAAGCAGAACATGCAGGTTACTTTATCAAAGGGGTCTGGGATGCCAAAAGTCTATGGACAACTGTCTTAGTGTTTACTGCATAAAGTGCAAATAGAGCTTTGAATCTTTCTTAAAGAGAGTTGTATCATCTATTTAACAGAGTAAAATCTAAAACAAAGAAACAGAGCTATAATCTGTGGAATCATCCATCATCTCCTTTGAAGTAAGGATGGAGTAGAAAGAGCAGACCTGAATAGTCCGTGGCAGGTCATGGTGCACCTTTAAAGGGAAAGCTAAAAGATTCTTTTTTTTTTTTTTAAATTTTTATTTATTTATGATAGTCACAGAGAGAGAGAGAGAGAGAGAGAGAGAAGCAGGCTCCATGCACCGGGAGCCCGACGTGGGATTCAATCCCGGGTCTCCAGGATCGCGCCCTGGGCCAAAGGCAGGCACCAAACCGCTGCGCCACCCAGGGATCCCAAAAGCTAAAAGATTCTTAACAATTAACTCACAGTTCCCCTTTTAAAAGAACCTGAATCTTGTGCTCAAAATGAGCCAGGTACCATTTCAAAATGAAAGGTACCATTGTTCTCGAGAAGCAGAACAGGCGCTTGAAGAAACTGGGTAGTTTCGGGATGGGGAACAGAAAGAATTACAGAACCGTTTAACAGAACATGACGATGACTTGGGCCGTCCTGAGATCATCTCACAGACCAGACTACACTGGTCTACAATTTGGGGACAGGGAGCATGAACACAGCCGGGAAGAGCAGCTGGCTCTGTAGTTTCCGGGTGCCCGGAACACCAGCAGGAGGTGGGATATCGTCCTTTACTGCCGGGCCCCAGGGCGCCGCTGACAATGGCTCTGCACCGCCAAGTTCCCAGGGGACAAGAAAGTGACTTGTGTCGGGCCAGGACTTCTCTGAACGCTTCGAGCCTGGGGACAGGTCATGCCCACCTTTTCTTTGTTAAACTCCCAGAAGCAAGGCAATTTTTTCCCCTTCGGGTAATAAAACGCATGTTACCTTAAAAGGCAAAGACGACGTGAATTTCCACGAAGCCAGGCCTGAGATGCTCTTGCATACGACCACGGAAGAGGGGTAGTATGTTAGGATGCTGAGCGTGTCAGGAGGCCTCGTCAGTGACAACTGTGAGAGCCAGCATCAACGTGCTGCAGGTGCGGCCATCAGCCCCAACAGGCAACTGCTCTGCTCGCCTAGTCCCTCCACTGCTCCCTCCTCCCAGGTATGGGAGGCTCTGCATCACCTGGACTTTACTTGGGTCAATACAACACTCGACACCCCGATTCTGAGAGAGACAACCCCTCGCCCCTCGCCTGTCCGCCTGTCCAGGAACCACGGTTTCCATTCCAGAGCTTTGGTAAGAGGCTGGTAAAAAAAAAACACCAAGTAGCTGGACGCCTGGGGAAGATCCGGATACATACCCAGGATGTGCAGGACGCAGCAGAGGCGGCCACTGGTCTCGCCGGGCAGCTGGGAGCCAGAGTCTGCCCCGAGGGGGGAAGCCAGAGGTCTTTTATAGTCTTCCCCTGTTTCTTTCGGTTTCTTTTTTTTAAAAAGGTTCTTTTTTTTTTTTTTCTTTTTTTCTTCCTGTTTACCCCACTCTCCAGCTGTTGGCACGTAGGGATTTTTTATAAATTACTCAGTTTCTCAGAAACACTTGAGACTCTTGACCAACCTCCTCGCTGAGACGGTCCAATCAGAGGTGGGTGGGGTGGGTGGGGTGGGCCGGGTGCAGGCCGAGCCGAGCCGTGGGCCGGCCATTGCATCAGCCACCCCATACCCCGGGCTGGCCCGCACATAACCTCCCCACCCTCTTCCCGTTCCCCACCCACCCTCGGCACCAGCGGGACTAACTGTTTACGTGCAGCCGCGGGAGGCCGCAGAAATCCCCGCGGCTGCTCACCGAGGCAGCGCAATGCGCACTGGTGGGAGGAGCGCGAGCTCCGGCCCGACCTAGCTCTGGGCCCTGCCTCGGGTCAAGCCCTGGGGCGAGGGCTGATACCTCGCTGCCTCGTCCTCCTCGGGCGCCTCATCTGTGAAATGGGCACACGGGAGCCGCCTAGCTTTGCCCCCGAGGGCAGCGAGCGCGACGGCAGAGGCCGAGCCCCCGGCGCGGGGCCCACGCTCCAGCCCGGGGGGGGGGTGTCTCGCCCTGGGGGGGGGAGGGGCGGGGGCGGGGGACGGGGCGCCACCGCGGAGCCAGACCCCGGCGGGCAGCGAGCCGGGCTCTGAGCAGGATACTCCGGGCCATCGCCTGCCGGCTGCGGCAGGGCCCCGTCAGCCGGCGCCAACCCGGCCTCCCTCCCTCCCGCCCCCCCGCCCATCCCCTCACTTACCGGCCCAGCCGGGCCCTTCAGCGCCGCGGGCTCAGCCACCGGCGGCCTCCTGGGCGTCCCTGGAAACGCCGTCCGGCCGGAACGACTTCCGGCCGTGCTGCCCCACCATTGGCTGTTCGCGCGGGGGCGGAGCGGAGGCCGCGGATGATTGGTTGGCGGGTCCGGCACCAGCGGAACGCAACTGGGTTGCGGAGTGCAGGCCGGACGACCTGCGGGAGGACCGAGCGCTTCCGGTGCGTGCGGTGAGCGGCGGGCCCGGGGGCGGGAGGGGGTTGGGAGCGGGCGGCGGCGGCGGGGGCGGCGGGGGCGGCGGGGGCGGCGGGGGCGGCGGCCGGAGCGCCCCGCGGCCCTCAGCGCGGGCCTCCGACCCTCCCTCGCCGGTCCTTGGCGGCAGCTGCCTTCCGGACGCGCCGAGCTCGGGGCCCGCCCTTCCTCGGGCTCTTGACAGCTCGGCTAACTTCTATTCATCCTTCAAAACCCATCGCGGGTCGTCTGCCTGGTTGCCTTCCTCCTCAGTCTGTGGCCTCCGGCGCCGGATCCGTGTTTTGTGTTTGATCTGTGCGCACACCAGACCCAGTCTAAGGCTTGGCCCCGAGTAGGTAATCAGGACGTGTTCGCCGAAGGAGGGTGTCCTCCCTCTTTTACTTTCTCCGTGCCCCACCCCCCACCCCCACCCCCACCCCCCCCCGCAGCTGCAGCCCACGACTATTCCCGGACCCCGGGCGGGGGTGGGGGGTGTCGGCGAGTGAACCGAGCACGACAAGCGCTGCCCTCGAGGAGCCGACCCGGCTTCCTCCCGCGGATCCCCGCCCCCACCTCGAAATTTTTTCCCCTTTTCCCGCCCATGTGCCTTCGCAGACACAAAAGGCAGCAACCACTTCCCCCGAAAGTTTTCCGTTGTTCCCAGTGCGTCTCCCTGGCCTCCGTTTTTTGCTTGTCCTCCCCCCCCCCCCCCCCCGCGCCCCGTCCCAGAGTCACCCCCTGGGCCTCCCTGCCTCCTCCCTCCGGCCCCCTTTGATGCTCCTCCTTGCCTCTGGTGTCGGGCCCACCTCGGCCACCCACCTGAGATGGAGCTGCAACCCCCAAGCCCGCAGGCGCCGCCTCTACGCTCTTCTGTTCTGCCTTTCTCCTTAGGATCTCTTACTGCCTGGGACCCTGCATCTCGCTGGATTGTGGGCGGCCTCTGCCACTGCCACTGCCACCCGAGCATGGTGAGCGCCGGCCGCCCTTCGCTGTGTGTCTGCCGTGGGGCCTCACCAGTGGCCTCTGCGCCATCGGTCCTGGGTCCACGAGCCAAACGTTCACGAAGCAGGTAGTATCCAGAGCCTTGTCATCCGCCCTCCTGCATTCATTCCGCCCTTGCTGCCTTGCCTAGCTAGGAAGTGGGCTGATGGGCCCCAATCCCACCACTCTCTGATGTCGTACCGTGGGCCTCTTTCTTTCTCTTTAAAATTTTCTTGTTTTTTCCTTTCTAAGATTTTATTCATTTATTCATGAAAGACACAGAGACAGAGAGGGGCAAAGACACAGGCAGAGGGAGAAGCAGGCTCCATGCAGGGAGCCTCATGCAGGACTGGATCCCAGGACTCCAGGATCAGGCCCTGGGCTGAAGGCAGACACTCAACCACTGAGCCATCCAGATGTCTTTCTTTCTTTCTTTTTTTTTTTTTTTTAAGGTTTATTTTATTATGTTAGAGGGAGTGGGGGAGAGAGAGAGAGAGAGAGAGAGAGAGAGAGAGCTTGCACGAGAAGGGAGGGACAGAGGGAGAGGAACTCAAGCCGACTCTGTGCTGAACACAGAGCCTGACTCAAGGCTTGATCTCACAACTCTGAGATCAGGACCTGAGCCAAAATCAAGAGTTGGACGCTTAGCTGATTGAGCCACCCAGGCAGGCACCATCGGTCTCTCTTCTGAGTCAACCACTGCAGACAACGAGGTGGGTGGGAATCCATCATGTGGCTGAGCACCCACATCCTGGCAGTGGGAACCTGGTGGGTTCCCTGCGACAGGGAGGAATGGTACGTGGTGGTGTGTGGTGCTGTCTACAGGAGTTGAGACAGGTGAGATGTCTGATCAGGACCAGGCTAAGTGTTTAGAGAATAGAAATGCCAAGTTGTTTGCAGAGCGCAGATGGCTTTGTGTATGGAAGGTGTTACCTGCCCAGATTAGGCTGCAGGGTGGGGAGGGGGTGGAATTTTGGAAGAGGTAGACTATATTTGTTAAATGATGATGTAATGTGTTGGACAGTGGAGCCCTTCAGGCGATGGGAACCCTTTGGGGGAGAGGTGTGGGTGGGGCGAAGTGGTTGGATGTCAGGGAATGTGAGGGAGAGCTGGGTGATAGGCTGAGTGGCTTAACAGGGGACCCAGAGGGAGTCTGGCGCTGACCTGACCCCACATGCCTGCAGGAGGAGGGGCGCAGTGTTGTACCTGAGGTAGGGCCTCATCTGGGGCAGCTCAGCAGTTGGTGCTGCTCCTTCACGCCCTCTGCTGTCCTGGATGTGCTGGGCATCCTTGTCCTGATTGTACTTCCTCTTAAAAGCACAGAATTGAACTCCAGACTGAAGGGCTTCTTTCCAGAAACTAGTTGGCAGCAATTTATCGTGTATGGTCGTTCAGAATTTCAGGAAGGATTTTTTTTTTTTTTTTTTTTTTTTTAATTTTTTTTTTTTTTTTTATTTATTTACGATAGTCATACAGAGAGAGAGAGAGGCAGAGACACAGGCAGAGGGAGAAGCAGGCTCCATGCACCAGGAGCCTGATGTGGGATTCGATCCCGGGTCTCCAGGATCGCGCCCTGGGCCAAAGGCAGGCGCCAAACCGCTGCGCCACCCAGGGATCCCAGGAAGGATTTTTTAGAAAAGGAAATGCACTGCTGTGTGAGTGTGTGTTTGGAGTGAAGCTGGCAAATTTGGACAAAACCCTTCAGAAACTGGGGGGGCTGAGGCCTTGAACACGTGGTTTTGTGTTGTGGGTCTATCTTACCACTGGCTTATCGGTGAGGTGGGAGTATCTGGGCAGGGGGTGAAGGAGGCACTGGGGCCCACGGGGAGGGTGAAGATCAGGGTGACATGCTTCTCCCACTTGATGGGTTCTGGACATGTTTCCATTTTAGTATTTTCAGACCTACTCTCAAAGACCCAAGTTGACCTTCCATAAGGCATCTTTAAAATCCTGAATCTTTCTGTCCAGGCATCCATTCTCTATTTCATCAGGTCTTCTTTTTATGTCTTTCCATAAAGTTTTAGTTTTCTTCCTGTGGGCTTTTGCTGATTTTTTTATCGTTTTCCCCAGATAGCCTGTAGTGTTTACTTAAAAAAATAAAATCTCCTAATTATGCCTGGTGTATAGAAAAGCCCTCATTTTTTTTTAAGATTTTATTTATTTATTCATGAGAGATACAGAGAGAGAGGCAGAGACACAAGCAGAGGGAGAAACAGGCTCCGTGCAGGGAGCCTGATGCAAGACTCGATCCCTGGACCCCGGGATTATCCCTGGACCCCAGGATCATGACCTGAGCCAAAGGCAGATGCTCAACGACTGAGCCACCTAGGTGTCCCAAGCCCTCATTTTTTAGTATGTTTATTTTTAGAGTTTTCCAATTGTGGATTTGCTGGGTGGTATGCTTTCTTTTAATTAAGTGTGGTGGTAAATATTCTTCTGTGCGTATTTTCTGACACTTGACTTTGTTTGGTCTCAGGTAGTTTGTCCTCAAAGGATATTAAGAAACTGTGTCTTCAATGGCTTCATTGGTGGCTTATGATGACTCGGAGTCAGAGGCTGAGACTGAGCCCGTGGGAAATTTTAATGCTGCCAGCCAGATGAAAGACACCTCTGATGTGGTCAAGCCTCCTGGGCAGGATTTTGCATCAGAAGCCCCAGGTGTGACGGAAGGGGCAGTACTGTCCACAAAGCATGGTTCTGGTGCAGATCCAGCTGGCCATCGTCTCCCACTGGTCCGGCTCTGGAGAAGTGACCCAGGATCTTGTCCCAGCCAGAAGCTACAGTGGCCCAGGACAGAGCCTGACGTCACCTTCCCCACAGGCAAGCCTCCTCCACCTTCCCTGTGGACCAGCCAGACTCCAGCTGGCCATGTGCCCCTGGCAGCGGCCCACTTTAGGCGGGTGAAACTCTCCTGGGGAACTTATGACTCCCCTGAACCATCCTTCTGTGTCCAAACCAAATCTGAAACCCCAGGTAAACATGGCAGCTCTCTTCAGAAGAAAAGGTGTGAGGACTGTATCGTGCCCTATACGCCAAAAAGACTAAGACAGTCACAGGCACCAAGCACAGAAACTGGGAAGGGCAGAGATGTGGAGGCGCAGGGTCCGTCTGCAGGGCGTGCCCCGGCTCCTCTCTGTATGGCCCCCAGAGTGTCTGAGTTTATTCAGCCCTATTTGGACAGTCAGTATAAAGAAACCACCATTCCCAGGAAAGTGCTCTTCCATCTGAGAAGTCACAGGGGCCCCGTCAACAGCATACAGTGGTGTCCGGTTTTTGCTAAGAGCCACATGCTTCTCTCAGTGTCTATGGATAAAACCTTCAAGGTAAGACTTGAGTGATACTGCTTCTTCAGGGACTTTTAGAAGTAAATTGCCGGGGTGTTTTGCCTTTCACAACAGTAAGGTACGGGGGCCGAACGTTTCTGTGTGGGAACTTCTGCAATTCTCTCTGCTGCGTTCAGGAGTGGGTCCTCAGTGGCCCACCCTGGACTGTTGGTCCGCTCTGTCCCCTCCCCCTGATGCTGCCTGGCTTAGGCCACCTGAGGATGCCAGCCTTTACTCCTTGTGGGAGCGTGGAGGACGTGCAGACACACTGGAACCATTGAGGATGAGGTTGCTGAGTGAGGACAGTCAGAGGGAGAGGAAAGCCAGCCTGGGACAAGTCTTGGGTCCCTGTGAAGCTTGGGGAATATGGAGCTGTGGCAGCTCTGTGCTGGGCACTGTGTCAGATGCCAGGGGAGCCGAGGTAGGTAGACCTGGCCCCTGGCTGCAGGGTGTGCAGTATGGTGGGGGCCATGGGCCAGTGGAGAGGCTCTCACAACCCCAGGCTTAGGAGTGTGAAGACCAGACTCCCAGAGGGACACAAGTGCTCCATGAACCCCCTGGGAGGGCTTGGTGAAGGCTTCCAGGAGGAGGGGAAGGTTCACTTGGTGAAGGTCGTGAGATAGAGCAGAAGGATGTTCTTGGTCGTAAGCCTGGGAAGTCCTGAGGGACCTGTTGGGGAGCGAGGGGCCAGACCAGGGATAGCTGTGGATGCCCTGCCGAGGACTTCCGGTTTATACAGACTCCTTTTTTCATTGTTACTTAAGAGCTACTGAAATCCTGCTGACCTGCTGTAAGCAATCCCCACTCATACAGGGATTTAGCATAGCAGTGTTGCACCTCCTGTAACCTGTCTCCAGTGCCTCTGGGCTCTACTCTGTCTCTAGCAAGCACCTCAGCACCTAGCAAGTCATCTATCTATATGTTGTGGGTGCCAAGTAAATGCACACTGAACCAAAGCTTCCTGGAAAGAAAATGGCTTTGGAATCGAAGGGACAGGCCTTCGGCTCCAGCTTTGCTGTGGAGCAGCTGGTTAGCTGGCCCCACTCCGAGTCTGGCGTCTCATCTGTAAAGGGCATCGTCATACTTGCGTCATGTGGTCACGTAAGAAAAACGCCTACAGATCCCGGGCACAGAGCTAGGTGCCCCACAGGTACTCCGTAAATGTCGGCTTCCTCCCTCTCTTTTCCTCACAGTTCTGGAACCATCCTGCACAGGATGTTGTATTTGCAAGTTATGTTTTGAGCTTTTTTCTTAGGAGGCATTTTTTCTGAAATGAAGACAGGAAGCCTAAGTGCAGTGAAGGCTTTGAAATAAGCTGAACCAATGGGTGTCATTTTTAAGTGGCCCATTTGAATCCTGAATCAACTTGTCTGTGTTCTCTTCTGGCAAGGCTAATAGAGCTGTGCAGGGACAGTGCCCTGTTCTGCCGTTAGTGTGGCGCTTCGGTGCTATTCCAGTGAGGGTGGGGGCTCCGGTCTGCTCCGGAGGCTTCTGGTGTCCCTGGTGTGCATTGTAACATGCTTGGTTCAATCCCACAGTGCTGGGGCTTCTCAGCGCTCCTTCCTGAGACTGCGCCCACGGAGGGCCGAGGGGACTTGTCCTTTGGTAAGGAGAGCATCTGGAGGGCTTCTGGCGTGGGCCTTTGTGGGGCCTGTGTGGTGCCAGGCCGCGTCTGACTGGCCCTGGATGTAGGCTGGAGTTAGAGTGATCTGGACCTCAGGGTCTGGCTCCATTCCCAACAGTTTTGTGACCCTGGGCAAGACACAACCTCTCAGATTCTGTTTCCTCCTCGATGAAACAAGCTTATGAGACCTATGGTTGGCCTTTCTGAGGTGAGACAAATGCCCAGGTGTGTGTGTCTGAAGCACCCAGGATAATCCTAGGCACATGTTCAAGGTTTGTGGAGGGTAGTGTGGTTACAGGGGGATCACCTGAGGGGCGTGGGAAGTCCCTTTCTCGGACCCTGGAGGGAGTGAGCCATCTGGTAGGCTGGAGGAGAAGGTAGTCTTGTCAGGAGGTCTCGAAGGACCGGCCAGTTGCCGTGGGGGAGATAGGTGGAGGGACCCAGGGCGGGCAGGTACACCTTAGTGGATGCCTGCTGTCTGCTTGCCCACCTGCGGGGCTGTAGCTCCTATGGTGAGGGGCAGGCGTGGAGCCCTGTGGGGACTGGTTTGCACCTGGCATCAGTGAGGTACCCTGTGGGGCCTGCTTGGATCACCTTTGCCCCGAGAAGTTCAGGTTTCCTGAGCAGAGGTATCCCCACTCTAGTATAGTTCTTAAACAGAACGCGTCTGAGGAAAGCCATTGATTTGGGGTGTTGGGTTTGTTCAGTCGTGTAGTGCGTGTTTGTAGAGTAGATGAGTGTGCTAGGGGCTCTGCACCGGGGGTGCCTGGAGGTCTCCATGGAGAGGACCCTGGATCAGCCAACTAGCTGTGACGCCTTGTGTCCAGAAGGGGGCACAGTTGGCTCAGCTTGGAAAGCTACTCAGGCAGAGTGACTGCGTAGGAAAGCCTTGCCTGATTCAGTGAGACCTGGGTCCTGGGCCGATTGTGGCAGAACTGCCCTCAGTGGGGCCGGTGCTGTGCCCCCCTTCCCGGGGAGGTGGTATGTGTGCTGCAGGAGATGTGGGCGCTGGCCCCTTGCTCGGCCTCGCACCTGCAGGGAGCCCTGCCTACTGCACTGCCCGTCCCTCATGGCGAGGCTGCAGGGGTGGCATTAGAGGTGGTCCAGGGACAGGGTGCAGCTGCCATCATGCTGCTGGGGCCAGTGTCTCCAGACCTCCTTGTTCCTGTGGGGTCTTGAAAAACCAGGGCTTTTATAAGCCATACGTGCAAATGGTTGGGCCAGGATCCTCACTGCTTTAAGATATTTGACGGTTTTCAGTGACAGAGTTATTTGGCAAATTGATTTCGAGCAACTTTTCAGCGTAAAGAATGTGTGGCGGGGGCTGGAGGAGCCAGGATAGGAAAACCAATTGGGAACTGGGTGGGGGCAGGGCTGGGAACCCGGGAGGGAAATCCTGGCTGACTCCTCAGTTTTCCTGGGGCCTCAGGTTCATGTGTAGCCAGGCGTGCGGCTGGCAGCCCCAGGCAGGATGGTGTTCTCCCCCAACCCTGAGGTCTGAGAGTGGGTGGCACGGTAGATCTTGGGGGCCTATGAGGTAGGCGGGGAAGTGGGAGGCATGTGGATGATGAACCTGGAGAGTATGGGGCTGCGGGCACCGGCAGGAGTCTAGGCTCCCTGCAGCCCCCGCCTGGCTGGAGAGCAGACGGTGGGTGCAGTGGGGAAAGATTTAGAAGAGGTGGGTGTGACAGGGCCCCTCCCCCACCCCCTGACTCTGTGCTCCCTTCTAGGGTGCCTTTCTCCTTGTCTTTTGGTTAAAGTCTGCCAGAGTGCCTTCTTGAGCCCACTGCATCCGGAAGGAGGGAAGAGCCTGGGTGCTGGGGTCACAGCCCTTAGTTCATATCCTTCCTCTGCCACTGACTGGCTGTGTGATCTCAGGCAAGTTACTTCCCTGAACCTCAGCCATTGTACATAAAGTGGAGACAACTGTGCGTTGCCTTGGTGGGTTTTTCTGAAGAATAAGCAGTGTTATATGTGACCTCTCTGGTGCCTGGCACAGGGTAGGCACTTGCTGTGTGCTTATGGTTTTGCTCTCTGCCGGGGTCTTTCCCCTTCCTTACTATGTAGTGACATCTCATTCTGCCTGTGTGACTGTGAACTGTATCTGCTACATCTTCTAGATTTTAAGCGTCTTGAGCATGGAAACTGTGCCAGGTCCATTTTTATGTTTTTCGAAGCACCTGGCACAAAGTTTTGTATGCTAAATGATCAGTAAAGATTAAAATTGTTTTTTTTTTTTTTTTTTGGATTTTATTTACAGCCTTTGGGAAAGGATCATCTCTTAAGTGCATAGATCTTATTTGCCAGTAGGGGGCACAGTAAGACTTAATATAGGCTCACTCAAGCTTCTAGAATGTGAAAGAATCCTTGATTCAAGGTAACATTTACTGAAATATGATTTCTTTTCTGATCAAGATAACAACAACACAATCCATCTGATTAAAGAGCGTGGAGTGCCAGTTCCTTCATCTCTTTAAAACGTAGCTTTGGAATTCATAAATTTCAATTGGGCACATAACAGTGGAAAGATACTTATTTTAATATGTTCTAAATGTTCTGTGAGCTGTAAAATATGCTTATATTAGTTTTGAAAAATTTACAGCTGGAGAAATTAAGTAAAATAAAACAATGACTCATAACTCTGCACCGATGCTCTGTTTTCTTTCCTGATGATCCCTTCCTGCTCCTGTATAGCACACATCTGTTTCTCACAGTTGTAATCCCAGTACGGATGCCCTTTTATCTACTCTTTTCATTTCTCTGTGTCCTCATTTAGCTCAACACGTTTGAATACCCACTGCACGTAAAGGTAGAAGTCAGACTTTGAAGCTCTTGGACAAAGTACAGATGTGGCCTGCTTCAACCAAATGCGGGCAGCCCTCACTGCTGGCCCTGTGTGCAGAGCCCTCTGCTAGGCACCAGACATATTGTCACAGGCATATGACATGTTTCCTGCTTCTAGGGGACCCCCGTCTGTGCGTCAGAACCCAGAGTTCTGAAACAGAAGGGTATTAAATCAAATGTATGAATTAAGTGTTGTTCATTTGTTTTACAAAATGGTTTGCTTTAGGAATTCTTTCAATAACAGACTTCCCTACGACACTTAAAAAAAAAACTTTTCATTTTTTTATCAGGAACGTAATAAAAACTTATTGTGAAAAACTTTGAAAATGCAGAGAGCATGAAGAAATCGTTGCTAATCCTAATCCTGAGTTGGTGAGTCGCTGACGCCGGGGGCCTTTCCTGGTCTGGACCCCCGCATTCCTGTGTGCTCACAGAGTTAGGCTCATCACAGAGTACGTGCAGTTTTGATTTTGCTCCCCTTTCCCCACCCATCTTTTGTGCTGTTTGTAAGGGGCGCTTTTCTACCTTATTA